GGAGTAGAGTACAGAAATTCCAGGATCATAGTTACATAGTATTTGAGGTTGAATAAAGACATAAGTCCATCAAGTCCAACCTATTGTGTGTGTGTGTGTGTGTGTGTGTGTGTGTGTGTGTATTTATATTTGAGCAGGTGTGTGCGTGTTTATGAGTCCATGTATGATTTTGCTCTTAGGCGTACCTGTACCCCGGTATATTATGGTCTCCGAGGAACTCGTCCAGGAGTTTTGTGAATGATATCACACTCTTAGCTGAAATCACTTCCTGCGGCAGCGAGTTCCAGACCTTAACCGCTCTTACTGTAAAGAACCCCTTGCGCCCTGTGTGTTGAAATGTTTTTTTCCACCAATTTTTGGTTGTGCTCTCTGGTCTTTGTTACGGAGCTAACCGTAAACAGTTTGTTGGTAATGTTGCTGTCACCCTTGAATAGTTTATACAGGAAAATCATGTCCCCCCCTTAATCTCCTAACCTCCAAAGAGAACATATTTAATTTTAACAACCTTTTTTCTTAACTCAGGTCCTTGAACCCCTTAATGAGTTTGGTTGCCCTCTGCTGGACTTTTTCCAGCTCAAGGACATCTTTTCTGAGTATAGGTGACCAAAACTGGACCGCATACTCCAGATGTGGCCGTACCAGTGATCTGTAAAGTGGCAAAATTATAGACTTGTCCCTGCAATACATTCCCTTCTTAATGCAAGACATAACACTGCTTGCGCTGTTTACAGCAGCCTGGCACTGCGAGCTGTTATTCAGTCTATAATGACCCCCAGATCCTTCTCCGTTTCCGACTTCCCTAGTTGCATACCCATAAGTGTATAGTCCATTTGCCTATTGTTAATTCCGAGGTGCATTACCTTACATTTATCGACATTGAACTTCATCTGCCATACATTATTATCAGTTATTATGCCATGATCTTGGATGAATTCCACTAAGTAGTCCTTAATAATTCCCTCTAACAGTTTACATACTATGCATGATAGACTAACTGGTCTATAGTTCCCCGGATGGCATTTTGACCCTTTTTTGAATATAGGTACCACATTAGCCCTTCGCCAGTCGCTTGGCACTCTACCAGCCATTATGGATTCCTTAAAAATTAGGAACAATGGCCTCGTTATCTCCTTGTTCAGTTCCTTGAGTACCTTGGGATGTAGATTATCAGTTCCTAATGCTTTATTTGCATTTAGTAGTTTAAGCCTTTGTTGTATCCCACTTTCAGTCAACCACTGAGGTGTATTTCTTGTTAAATTTTGTGTTTTATCATGTACATTAAACCCGTCTTTTTCCTTGGTGAATACCGACGAGAAGAAATTATTTAGCGCCTCGGCCCTCTCCCTGTCGTTTGTGAGTAACGTCCCATGTATGTCCTTTATTGGGCCTATTTGTTCCTTTCTCCCCTTTTTACTGTTTATGTACTGATAAAAAATTTTTGGGTTCTTTTTACTAACTTCGTCAATAGGTTTCTCACATTCAATTTTAGCTGCCCGGACTACCAGTTTACATCTTTTATTACATTCTTTGTAGTTTTGGAATGCCAATACTGTCCCCTCCGTTTTATACTTGCTACTTTTGTTTCTTTAATGTATAGTTTTATTTAGCCATATTGGCTTTGTTTTTGATCTTTTACTTTTGTTACCCAGCGGTATACATCTGGTAATAGCATTTTTTTAATTTGTTCTTGTAACAGTCCCACTTTTGGTCAAAGTTTAATTTATCAAATACGTTTTCCCATTCGATTTCACCCACTATGTCAGAGGTAAGGAAAGTTGTCCTTCAAAAATTTAGCATCCAGGTAACCTAGGACATCTTTTTTCCCAGTGGACAAGATGACGGTGCCTTTCTTTGCTCTAATTTTTGTATAGAACCCCTCAGTGTCAAGGCCTCTTCAGCTGTTCTACGCTCTATGAAAATGGCTCTGACAATATTTATTTTTCATGAATAGAGATGAGATGGTATTTATGACCTAATTGTGTTGACTAACATTTTCCTTTGACAAATACAGAATACCTAACAAGCTTCTCTTTTTTTTTAATAGAATGGATGCATTTTCCGGAGAATAGGATAATGGAAACTGCAAGAGAAGGGTAAAAAAAAATAGGATTTATATGTTCTCGGACATACATTTTTGTCATATGTAATATGCTGTCCCTTGCGGTCAAGAAGATGGTTAAAGTCATGAAAAGACTGTCCATAGGGAACATCGCCTAGAAGATCCTGGATAGTCATGGCCTCAAAGGTGTCATGTCTGTATATTTTGACAGTGGTTTGTTGGGCAAGTGCACTTTGGTACTTAAGTGTCACTCGCCCAACATCCAACTACAGTGGCTACAAGCTTAGCAAAGTGGTGTTGGCTCAGAAAAACATTACTTTTGGCAATATTAGAACTCGACCTATCAACCCCCATTCCTTTGAATTTGTTATTAACGAGCCTGAGAAATGTGAAAATAATGGGAGCCCCTTTTTGGTTATTCTGATAAGTACAACCCATAAGGAGTTTGATGCCAGACAAGCCATCCGAGAAACTTGGGGTAATGAAAGCAACTTCAAGGGAATTAAAATTGTCACACTTTTCCTTCTCGGCAAAAATGCAGATCCAGTATTAAACCAGATGGTCGAGCAAGAAAGCCAAATATTTCACGATATTGTGGTGGAAGACTTCATAGATTCATACCACAATCTAACCCTCAAAACTATGATGGGCATGAGATGGGTGGCAACCTTTTGCTCCAAGGCTAAATATGTCATGAAAACAGACAGTGATATTTTTGTAAATATGGACAATTTAATTTATAAACTACTGAAACCAACCACAAAGCCAAGGAGGAGGTATTTTACTGGATATGTTATCAATGGAGGACCTATAAGGGATGTCCGCAGCAAATGGTATATGCCAAGAGACTTGTACCCAGACAGTAATTATCCGCCATTTTGTTCGGGAACTGGGTACATCTTTTCCGCTGACGTGGCAGAACTCATTTATAAAACATCCCTCCACACAAGACTTTTGCATCTTGAGGATGTGTATGTGGGACTTTGCTTGCGAAAACTTGGAATCCACCCATTTCAAAACAGTGGCTTTAATCATTGGAAAATGGCTTACAGTCTGTGCCGATACCGTAGAGTGATCACAGTACATCAGATTGGCCCTGAGGAAATGCACCGAATTTGGAATGACATGCAAAGCAAGAAGCACCTACGATGTTAAGTTTTGCAGTTCGTTGCATATTTTTTTTAGCGGTAGCGAGAAAAAACAACTTTATTGTACAGGATGTATAGACAATATTTTATCTTCTATGTTCATTTTTATTATTGGTCTGTACAGAGCTGGAATTTGAGATCAGCCCACATCACTACAGTGGGCATTGTTGTCTATTTCTCCTAACATTTCACAAATTATACTGAACTGTTTTTCTTTTGTTTTCTTCTATATCCGTTAATGCTATGATGACTTGACAATTCTGTGTTCCCTGGACTTATGAGCAAAGTCTATGTCTACTCTATATAGTGCAATACTATCATGTACTCTGATTTCCATTTAAGTAGCAGTCTAGGATGCTGTATTTTTTTCACCTTGTTTTTTTTATCACTGGCTGTTTTGCACGATATTAAGAATGTATGTATTTTACATTTCATATCCATACAGGCATGCAGATACAGTTATGTAAGATTTACCGTGTTTGCAGTATTCAGATTCATAAAGCCCAGCGTCAGCCAAATATTTTGTTTTTTAGGGGCTAGAACCCGTCTGCTTTTAAATGTCAGCTGTCTCCTTGTTGAGAAGCTTTTCCCTCAATCGACCTGATACTAGGAAGTGAGAGGAAATCTGCCAACTGAGGATACAAACGGCAAAACATTTCTGGCAGAAGCTGTAATGCTTCCCCCCTGGATTTTTTTTTATTTTTTTTTATTTGACTGCCTCTGTTAATGGGGATTTCCCCTTGCATTCTTTTATGTCTGACATGTCACATAACTAGGAAGTGGGATATTTTCCTTTGTTTCTTCACTGTCTGTGCATCTATTGGTGTGAATTTCTGCTCACCTCCTGTTCTACCCGATATGTACAAATAGAAAGTGAGAGATATTCTCTGCCAGAAATAAAAAATTGGCCAGGGATCTAACCCTTCCACCCTCTATCCAAATCTAGTCTGAGCTGGGGTTGGGCTTTAGCACATAAAATGGTTAGTTTTAGAATGTAGTATTTGAGACTGGGACAGTGTTAGTGATTATTCGAAGTATAAAGATGAAGCTGTACCTTCTTTTGGCTATATCAAAGCTTCTAATGTTTTTGTGATAAACCAGGTCTTTTTGCAAGAATATACAAGGCCTAATGAAGACTCATAAACCTTTTTGAAGGGCAGTCATATCAAACTATTTAATCAATAAAAAAAATCCCCTGTTCAGCACTTCCTCTTCCTAATTTTAACAATAATTTTATCAACTAAGAAGTTCTTAAGTTATGATAACATGCGAGTGGCAACTTTTTTCCATTGTGAAATGGACAACGATCAGGAAATTCTCAGTAGAGAAATGCAGATAACATCTATGTATATATGTTTCACTACTCCCACAGAGTTCAATTAAAACTGAACTCTGGACACATGCATTTTCGTTTAAATATATTCTTCAATAGTCACAAAGGATATAAATCTAGCAGGCCCACCCACTACAGGTTGGCTGCAGAAAACTACAGGAGGGGGGCAGATACAAGACCAGTCATCTTGCAAAAGGAGAGAGAGCAGCAGTGACTGGTCTTTATTACAGGCAATGTTTACTTGATCAACTCAAATGTTTTGTCATAGTGCATGGTTTCACTGATAAAAATAAATAAAAACAACGTTAATAGGACTAAAACTGACAAAAATACATTGCAATTTTCTTTAATGGAGATTTAGTTGACAAAACTAAAATAATTCAGATGACTAAAATGCGACTAAAACTAAAATGCGTATTTTGTTCATCTGAATTCTTTTAGTTTTAGTTTTGTCAACTAAATCTCAATGATAGAAAATTGCAATGTATTATCGTCATAGTTTTAGTCCTATTAACTTAGTTTTTATTTATTTTTATCAGTGAAAACATGCAGATGATGAAAAGTATGACACAACATTTTAGTTGACTAAATTAACACTGATTACAGGAAGCTCTTACACAAAGGCAATAGTGTATGCTAAATTACTGCACAGACCTTGAAGAAATACACATATCTCTTGAAATTAGACAAAATTTGGTGATCCCCGGAGCTCAGCTTTAAATCCTTAAGTTCCATACTCCTACAATGCCAATGTAGTATATCTCTTTCAGATTTTGGAATTCATGTATCAAATTTACTTAACTGAATCAGATATAGAGAAAAATAAAAGTAGCAGATGTTGCCTTTACTATCTATTCTCATTGTAGATTTTATTTTCTAAGCTATACTGAAATCTGAAATCAGACAACTTTTATTACTCAGTCCAACAATGCTAAAATTGCTTAATTGTCTGCATGGAATTAAGTTGCCAAATAGCATACTTTTTGTTTTTACATTTACCCACCATATATATTTTTACAATTGCATATGTTTATTTTATTTTGAAATTAAGGTTTTATAATTAGAAGCATGTGACTACCTTCCACCCTGGCGTAACAAGGCCTTGCTCAAACTAAAGCCATTTTGGATAGAATCAGGGTGAGTTATAACCCTGGTCACCTTTTTTTTTTTATTATTCATTGGGGAGATTTCCCTCCGCTTTCTGCCACAACAAAAAGTGGGAGGAAATCCATCCAAAGTGCGGGCAGACCCTTATTACCAGGGTCACCAGAATTAGTGTTCCCATTGCAAGATTTCCCCTCTATTCCTGTTCTGGTGACAACTCAAATGTTGGGATTTTATTTCACTTTCACTGTGGGGTGATAATGGTCACCAGCACAAACAGAGAGTGTGAATCTTTTTATCAGGGACACACACATCAATTAAAACCCAACAGGTGTTCAAATTAAGGTTAAGGTTTTAGTTCTGTTTATAATGGAGATAACTGCCACCAAACAAATCGTTAAACTACTGTGTGATCAGTTAAGTGAAAGTAGTAGATGTCATTATATCTGGCTGTATGTTCCAAAAAATGTTCAGTAGGAAATTGAAGCAGTACATGTTTACAAATTTTGCTAAAAGGGGTTGCTGTACTAAAGGAGAAAAGCGTGTTCACTTTGCAAGATAATTTTCCCTTAGCTTAGTGAATGAGGTGAAGCTTGATTGACGTCCATCGGAAGAATAAATGCTGTTGTGTTTTTTTCCCTTGCACCTGATGCTTTGCAAAGTGAATTTAGTGAACATGTTTTACTCCTTTAGTAAATCAGCCACATAGTGTAGACTATATTAGCTCAAATATAAACTACATTAATTGCTCTGACTTATTTTACATTGGAAAGGACATATATAAGATTTTAGTGTCTTAATATCAACTGTAGTGCAGTGACAAAAAAAAGAAAACCTCTTCAGTTTTGAGCATTTTTGAAAGGGTAAAGTGTATGTAAGGACAAACCTTTTTTTTGTTTTGTGTAGAGTAGGGAAGGATATGAACTTTTGTCATAGTTTTATTGCTGTCTGTTTATCCACTAGGGAAATTCTCCCTGTAAATATTCTGGTGACCGTTGTCACAGAGACGCAACATAATGGGAACATTTTAGAGTTATCACCACACCAAGTCTTGAAGGCAAATCATCTAATGGGGACAAATGTTCGGGTGACAGCTGTCTAACATTCTTTTGACTTCAGAGAGATCTCCTGACTTTGTTGCTTCTCCTGGACAGGAAGTTAACCTTCCTGGCGGTAATCCCGAGTGTGGCTCTGGGTTAATTTTCAGTACCAAAAGCCGTAACCCCGAGCCACACTCAGGATTACACAGCACGTCACTTACCTTCTCCCTACGAGCCCCGCTGTGTCCTCCAGCCGATGCCGGCATCCGTCTTCCAGGATCCTTCCCTTCCGCGCGCCCGTGTCGCAGTGGAACCGGCGTTAAATTTTGAAGTAAAAAACAGGAAAAAAACAATACTGAGATAATCAGACCGCCAGGGAGGTTAAAAGGAATCTCCTCAGTAGCACACAGTGTGCTGCGGTAACACTTGCGTTACCGCAGCACACATTAATGCATGAACATTTTGAAGGCTCCTCAACATACAGTACTATTGTAGCACAGGGCAATGCCCCCACAATGCAGAGCACTGCAAGAAAAATGATCTCACAGTTTGTTACTTAACAGGCAGCCAGTCAGATTACAAAGAACAGGTGCAAAAGAAAAGCTTGAATCTGATTGACTGCTATGACATATTGATAAACATGGCATTATTTTTTTTCTTATACAACAAGTCATTTAGACTATTTAACATGTTATTCTAAAAATGTAGCAGCATTCAGCTTTTATACTCTAGCTGAAGCCTGAAGTTCATTACACTTTTCAGTGGCATTTGAAATGACTATTTTAAGAAAAGTTAAAAATAATTTGAGCTGTTTAAGGACAGGACCGTAATACATTTTCTGGTAAATGGCCAGAAAACGTAGAGCTGAAATTCCACTCCAGTTATGGCCATTTTTACTTTTTTCGTTTGAACAATTTCGAGTTAAGAGATTCAAAAATTGATTTTTGTATTCACTGTACAATCATTTTCTCTGTGTTCAATGAAAGATACAGCAAAGATATAACCACTGGGTTATACTGCTACATGCAGGAGTTTGAGGCTAGGTACAAACACAAAAAAGAGCCTAGGGTCAGTCCCTGCTGGTGACCTCCCCCCCCACCCTGCCTTCTAACATAGCCTTAGTTGGCAATAAGCAGTTAATGGAGAGCAGAAAAACCCAAAATGGCAAAGAGCAACATAGCTAGAAGGGCGGGTGCTCGTGTCCTTTAAAGAGCACAGAGAAAAAGATTTTATGGCGAGTAAAACCAATGAATTTTTCTCTTCCATTCATTGAAGGACACAGCAAAGGAAAAAGAACCAGTCTGAAAAGGCACAAGGTGGAGTTCAAAGTGCAGCCTGCAAGACCTTACCCTAGGCTGTTTGTATATAACAGCCTGCAGGTGGCAGTATAATCCAGTGGTCAAGATCTACAGATCCTTACTTTGTCTTTCAATGAACAGAAGATAAATATTTTTTACTAAAGCGCACCTTTATTTGCATTTTGTTTTATTCACTAGCTTAACATAATGTTCCATATGGAGCAATAAAATA